AGGCAAGGCGAATCCTCCGAAAAGGCTTAATATCTAGTTCTTATAGTCAAAACTAAAGCCTTCAGTGGGTTTTCAGAATCATGCTGTAACTTCAATCTATATAAAATAAATATTCAAGTAGAGAGCTAAAATGCTAATGTAAAATACAAATTTAGTAAAAAAACTAGTGACACTTATAAACAAAGTCAAAAATTGGTATGAACAGAATCAACACACCCCTCCAAATGGGCCTCCATGTCACCATATGGATCACAAGTGAAATATCTGGAAAATCATGGAATAGGGTTATTATACATGTAAACAAATATTTGTTTAATTTATAATCCAAAGGTATCGTCTCGTACCCCACTTCTAATGTTTGTTTGAAAACGTTTTTTTTTCCAAAGAAATACTCATTTATTAGTTATATTAAACAGATATTGACGACTGCAATCCTAATCCATGTCAGAACGGGGCAGCATGTACAGACGGCGTTGACTCCTATACGTGCACGTGTGTCGCCGGATATACAGGAACTAATTGTGAGACAGGTAATACAAGTTTTTAGATAAGTTTTTAATATCTAGTTCTTATAGTAAAAACTAAAGCCTTCAGGTGGGTTTTGAGAAGCATGCTGTAATTTCAATCTGTATACAAGAACCGGTTGAACCGGGTGATGCTCTCCGAGAAGGTTCTGGACACAGGAAAGTATAAAAAAAATGAACAAAGGGCAAAAACTCCAAAATAAGGCAAAGCGGAGTTAAAAATGAACAAAGGGCAAAAACTCCACAATAAGGCAAAGCGGAGTTATGTTTTTTTGCACTGCACTTCTATTCAATGAGATCTATCAATCTATAAAGTTTCCTGATGATATCAGAGTTATGTCCCGGGTAAAATTCAAAGTGTAAAAATGAACAAAGGGCAATAACTCCAAAATTAGACCAGGCTTTGTTTAGGTTCTTTAAGCACTGCAGTTCTATCCAATTATATCTAGCTACCTACAAAGTTTCATGTTGATATCTCTAATAGTTTTAAAGTTATGTCCCGGACAAAAGTCAAAAAGTAAAAATAAACAAAGGGCAATAACTTCAAAATAAGGCAAGGCAGAGTAATGATTCTCAAGCAATACACTTCCACCCAATGAGACCTATCTATGTACAAAGTTTCATGTTGATATCTCTTATAATTTAAGAGCAATGTCCCGGACAAAGTTCAAAGTGTCAAAATGAACAAAAGGCAATAACTCCAAAAGTAGGCAAGGCAGAGTTACGGTTCTTGTGCACTGCGCACCTACTCAATGAGATCTATCTGCCTACAAAATTTCATGTTGATACCACTTGTAGTTTTAGAGTTATGTCCAGGACAATGTTCAAAGTGTAAAATAAACAAAAGGGGATAATTCAAAAAAATTAGGCAAGGCAGAGTTACGGTTCTTGTGCACTGCACACCTACTCAATGAGATCTATCTACCTACTAAGTTTCATGTTGATACCTCTTATACTTTTAAGAGTTATGTTCCAGACAAAGTTCAAAGTGTAAAAATAAACAAATGGGAATAATTCAAAAATTAAGCAAGGCAGAGTTACGGTTCTTGTGCACTGCACACCTATTCAATGAGATCTATCTACCTACAAAGTTTCATGTTGATATCTCTTGTTGTTTCAAAGTTATGTCCCGGACAAGAAAAGGGGACGGACGGACGGACGGGAATACGGAAGGACGGACGGACAAGGCGGCGACTATATGCTCCCCCTAAATTGTTTGGGGAGCATAAAAAATAAATATTTAAGTAAAAAGCTAAAATGCTAATGTAAAATAAAAATTTAGTAAACAATAGCTGTCACCCAAGGGCGAATCCTCCGAAAAGGCTTAATATCTAGTTCTTATAGTCAAAACTAAAGCCTTCAGTGGGTTTTCAGAATCATGCTGTAACTTCAATCTATATAAAATAAATAATAAAGTAAGACTTCCCTACAAAGTTTCATGTTGAATCTCTAAATTTTTAAATTTATGCCCCCGGAAAAAGTCAAAAAGTAAAAATAAACAAGGAAATTAATTTTAAAAAAAGGAAAGGGCAGAAATATGAACAGAATCAACACACCCCTCCAAATGGGCCTCCATGTCACCATATGGATCATCAGTGAAATATCTGGAAAAATCATGGAATAGGGTTATTATACATGTAAACAAATATTTGTTTAATTAATAATCCAAAGGTATCATCTTGTACCCCACTTCTAATGTTTTGTTTGAAAACGTTTTTTTCCAAAGAAATACTCATTCATTAGTTATATTAAACAGATATTGACAACTGCAATCCTAATCCATGTCAGAACGGGGCAACATGTACAGATGGCGTTGACTCCTATACGTGCAAGTGTTTTGCTGGATATACAGGAACTTATTGTGAGACAGGTAATTACAAGTTTTTAGATAAGTTTTTAATATCTAGTTCTTATAGTAAAAACTAAAGCCTTCAGGTGGGTTTTGAGAAGCATGCTGTAATTTCAATCTGTATACAAGAACGGTTGAACCGGGTGATGCTCTCCGAGAAGGTTCTAGACACAGGAAAGTATTAAAAAAAATGAACAAAGGGCAAAAACTCCAAAATAAGGCAAAGTGGAGTTAAAAATGAACAAAGGGCAAAAACTCCACAATAAGGCAAAGCGGAGTTATGTTTTTTTGCACTGCACTTCTATTCAATGAGATCTATCAATCTATAAAGTTTCCTGATGATATCAGAGTTATGTCCCGGGTAAAATTCAAAGTGTAAAAATGAACAAAGGGCAATAACTCCAAAATTAACCAGGCTTTGTTTAGGTTCTTTAAGCACTGCAGTTCTATCCAATTATATCTAGCTACCTACAAAGTTTCATGTTTGATATCTCTAATAGTTTTAAAAGTTATGTCCCGGACAAAAAAAGTCAAAAAGTAAAAATAAACAAAGGGCAATAACTTCAAAAAAGGCAAGGCAGAGTAATGATTCTCAAGCAATACACTCCCACCCAATGAGACCTATCTATGTACAAAGTTTCATGTTGATATCTCTTATAATTTTAGAGCAATTGTCCCGGACAAAGTTCAAAGTGTCAAAATGAAACAAAGGCAATAACTCCAAAAGTAGGCAAGGCAGAGTTACGGTTCTTGTGCACTGCGCACCTACTCAATGAGATCTATCTGCCTACAAAATTTCATGTTGATACCACTTGTAGTTTTAGAGTTATGTCCAGGACAATGTTCAAAGTGTAAAATAAACAAAAGGGGATATTTCAAAAAAAATTAGGCAAGGCAGAGTTACGGTTCTTGTGCACTGCACACCTACTCAATGAGATCTATCTACCTACTAAGTTTTTCATGTTGATACCTCTTATACTTTATGAGTTATGTCCCAGACAAAGTTCAAAGTTGTAAAAATAAACAAATGGGAATAATTCAAAAATTAAACAAAGGCAGAGTTACGGTTCTGTGCACTGCACACCTATTCAATGAGATCTATCTACCTACAAAGTTTTTTCATGTTTGATATCTCTTGTTGTTTCAAAGTTATGTCCCGGACAAGAAAAGGGGCGACGGACGGACGGAAATACGGAAGGGACGGACGGACAAGGCGGCGACTATATGCTTCCCCCGAAATTTTTCGGGGAGCATAAAAAAATAAATATTTAAGTAAAAAGCTAAAATGCTAATGTAAAATAAAAATTTAGTAAACAATAGCTGTCACCCAAGGGCGAATCCTCCGAAAAAGGTTTTTCTTAAGCATTGCAGGGTATTATGAAAAGAAAAGAGAATGGAAAGTAACTAATTTTGCTGAATATTTTCTTTGTATTATTTACCTGTTAAATCTCTAATTGTGATAGCAATGAACCTTTTAAAATATAAGTGTGACCTTTGACCTTTTGAAGAAGGGACGTGGTTTTCCTGGAAGCGACAAAATGCTGTTATAAGATAGACATTTGTGATAAATTATTTCGAAATCCCTCAATGCAAATTGACAAGGTTACAGTCTGGACATGGATTGTTTGGTGTAAGTGGGGGTACACAGACAAACGGACATGAGCATTAGCCGCCACACATTGTCTTTGATGTGGTAGACATTTATTGGGAGATTATTTTAAAAAAGATCCTTCCATTCATTGACAAAGTGACAGTCCGGACATGAATGTGTATCTTCAAAACTCTTCTCGAGAGAATGGGGTTACCTTCAAAAAACTATAAGTTTGTGACCTTTGACCTTGGAGTAGGGACAGGTCTTTGTCGCGACATGTTGTCTTGTTGGGTGACATTTTTTTTGCCTAGTTATTTTTAAAATCCTTCGATTCATGAAAAGTTACAGCCCGGACACAAATGTGTGTACCTATTAACTTCTAATTGTGATAAAGTGAACTTCAAAAAAGGTAGCGTGACCTTGATCTTTGAGGTAGGGACTTTAGGACTTGATTATTGGACAAACACATCGGTCTTGATGTTGTAGACATTTATGCCAAGTTAAAAATCCTTTCCATGCATGACAAATTACAGCCTGACACGTTGTATGTTACTATTAATCCCAAATGGTCATCATGTGTGAAACTTCAAAATGTTTTAGTGACCTTGACCTTTAAGGTAGAGATGTAATTCTTGGACCCGACACATCGTCATGATCTTGTAGACATTTATGCCTACTTATTTTAAAATCATTCAATGCATGACAAAGTTACAGTCCGGACACAAATGTGTGTACCTATTTACTCTAATAACGATAATGTGAAACTTCAAAAAGATAGTGTAACCTTGACCTCTGAGGTAGGGACGTGGTTCTTGGATGCGACACATCGCCTTGATGTTGTAGACGTTTGTGCTAAGTTATTTCAAAATATCTCAATGTATGACAAAGTTTAAGTCTGGACACGAATGAAGTGGGGACGGACAGACGGACAGTGCCATTATATTATGCCTCCCTTCGGGGGCATAACAGCTTGGTTAAAATCAAATACTCGTATAAGATTTGTCATTTATATCTGGAACAATAGATCGAATTAACCCGCACTGCAACTTTCCTTACCTAAGAACCATTTATTAAATTAAGTTCCTCATGATTGCTATACTTATATTGTGTGCATTTATTTTTTTGAAGGTCAAAGGTCATGGTCACAATTAGATTATGAAATTTTTCTTCATAACAATGCATATTGCTGCTCGTGTCCGGCCCCCAACAATTAGACATTCTTATATGGATTTTAAAAATACATTCATGGGTGTTTCTTTTTAAATATTCGCGCATAGTGTAGCGTTTATTTAGGTTTATTTCTTCACACATGTAACATTTTTATAATAGTACCATGCCTTCATTATAAATCAAAGGTAATGGTTCCTTTGCTAGGCACAGCGTCTGTTTTCATTGACAAAGTTCTTTCCATAGATTGTTGGCATATGTCTTTTTGCTTTCAAAAGTGTATAAATGTATCAATTATGTTTGTTGAGTATTGTATAAGTGTTAAGTATTGTCTTAGCGTTATCTTCATCTATATGACGTGGAGTCATATTAACACTTTGGTGATTCAATGACAATTTTAGAACTGTAAACATGGGTGGTCAGGAAAAAGTAAACAATGTTTACCCCACTTCTTATGTTTGTCTGAAAATGTTTTTTTCCCCAAAGAAATACTCATTAATTAGTTATATTAAACAGATATTGACGACTGCAATCCTAATCCATGTCAGAACGGGGCAGCATGTACAGACGGCGTTGACTCCTATACGTGCACGTGTGTCGCCGGATATACAGGAACTAATTGTGAGACAGGTAATACAAGTTGTTAGATAAGTTTTAGATATATAGTTCTTATAGTCAAAACTAAAGCCTTCAGGTGGGTTTTGAGAATCATGCTGTAACTTCAATCTATATAAAATAAATATTTAAGTAAAAAGCTAAAATGCTAATGTAAAATACAAATTTAGTAAAAAACAAGTTACATGTTTTAACACTTATAAACAAAGTCAACAAGAGCTGTCACAGGAGACAGCGAAGCTCGACTAATAAAATACTGGACGCAGTAAGGAGGACAAAACTATGAAAGAAAAATCAATTATGTATAATTATGTATTAAGTTATAGTAAAAAAATAACATTTGTTAACATTAATTCCAAGGTCAAGGGGAATAATTCTAGAAATAGTCATGCTAGAGTTATGGACCTTGTCACACAACAGTTGTGTAATGATAAGAAATATATATTTGAAGTTTGAAGTAGATACCTTAAAAAGTAAAGAAGTTATTATATTTCTTAAAGAAAATCCTAAGTTCAAAGAGAGATAAATCTGTAAATATTGCTTCAAGAGTTATGAACATTGTCACATAAAATGTAATTGATGATAAGGAATAAGTATTTGAAGTTTGAAGTAGATACCTTTAAAAATAAAAATGTAATAATAAAAAATAACATTTTTCTAGTAAAAAAATCTAAGTTAATGGGGAGATAATTATTGCAATATTGGTGCTAGAGTTATGAACCTTGTCACATAAGATGTGGATGATGATAACGTAAATATATTTGAAGTATGAAGTTGATCCCTTTAGAAATAAATAAGTAACAGTAACAAGAGCTGTCGGTAGGACAGCAACGCTCGACTATTCTTAGTGCTTGATAGTAAAAAAAATGCTTGATACAGTTACCTCCTCCTGTTTACAGGTTAGGGTCATGATGGGGAACAAGTGTGCAAAGTTTCAAAGCCATATGTCAATGGACTTTGAAAATATTTGAACGATTACAAAAACTTTAACGTAAATTCTAAGTCGAAAAAGGGGCATAATTCTGTCAAAATGCTTGATACAGTTACCTCCTCCTGTTTACAGGTTGGGGTCATGATGGTGAACAAGTGTGCAAAGTTTCAAAGCCATATGTCAATGGACTTTGAAAATATTTGAACTATTACAAAAACTTTAACGTAAATTCTAAGTCGAAAAAGGGGCATTATTCTGTCAAAATTCTTGAAAGAGTTACCTCCTCTTGTCTACAGGTTGGGGACATGATGGTGAACAAGTGTGCAAAGTTTCAAAGCCATATGTCAATGGACTTTGAAAATATTTGAACTATTACAAAAACTTTAACGTAAATTCTAAGTCGAAAAAGGGGCATAATTCTGTCAAAATGCTTGATAGAGTTACCTCCTCTTGTCTACAGGTTGGGGTCATGATGGTGAACAAGTGTGCAAAGTTTCAAAGCCATATGTCAATGGACTTTGAAAAAATATTTGAACTATTACAAAAACTTTAACGTAAATTCTAAGTCGAAAAAGGGCATAATTCTGTCAAAATGCTTGATAGAGTTACCTCCTCCTGTTTACAGGTTGGGGTCATGATGGTGAACAAGTGTGCAAAGTTTCAAAGCCATATGTCAATGGACTTTGAAAATATTAGAACTATTACAAAAACTTTAACGTAAATTCTAAGTCGAAAAAGGGGCATAATTCTGTCAAAATGCTTGATAGAGTTACCTCCTCTTGTCTACAGGTTGGGGTCATGATGGTGAACAAGTGTGCAAAGTTTCAAAGCCATATGTCTATGGACTATGAAAATATTTGAACTATTACAAAAACTTTAACGTAAATTCTAAGTCGAAAAAGGGGCATAATTCTGTCAAAATGCTTGATAGAGTTACCTCCTCTTGTCTACAGGTTTGGGTCATGATGGTGAACAAGTGTGCAAAGTTTCAAAGCCATATGTCAATGGACTTTGAAAATATTTGAACTATTACAAAAACTTTAACATAAGTGGTTACGCCGACGCCGACGCTCGGGTGACTGCAATAGCTCTACTTATTCTTATCGAATAGTCGAGCTAAAAAATAATATTTTTTATGGAAAATTCTAAGTTCAAAGGGAGATAAATCTGAAAATATTGGTGCTAGAGTCATGAACCTTGTCACATAAGATGGGGATGATGATAACGTAAATATATTTGAAGTATGAGGTTGATCCTTTAAGAAATTAAGAAGAAACAGTAAGAAATAGTATTTTTTGAAGAAAATTCTAAGTTCAAGGGGAGATAAATCTGAAAATATTGGTGCTAGACTTATGAATCTGTCACATAAGATGAGGATGATGATAAGGTACATATATTTGAAGTATGAGGTTGATCCCTTAAGAAATAAAGAAGTAACAGTAAAAAATTGTATTTTTTAAGGAAAATTCTAAGTTCAAGGGGAGATAAATCTGAAAATATTGGTGCTAGAGTTATGAACCTTGTCACATAAGATGTGGTTGATGATAAGGAACATATATTTGAAGTTTGAAGTTGATACCTTAAGAAATGACAAAGTTATAGTGAAAAATATTTTACTGCACAAAACTTTAATCTAAAATCTGGATGCGGACGCGGACGCCGACGCCGGGGCGAGTAGGACAGCTCTCCATATACTTCGTATAGTCGAGCTAAAAATTGGTATGAACAGAATCAACACACCCCTCCAAATGGGCCTCCATGTCACCATATGGATCACAAGTGAAATATCTGGAAAATCATGGAATAGGGTTATTATACATGTAAACAAATATTTGTTTAATTTATAATCCGAAGGTATCGTCTCGTACCCCACTTCTAATGTTTGTTTGAAAACGTTTTTTTTCCCAAAGAAATACTCATTTATTAGTTATATTAAACAGATATTGACGACTGCAATCCTAATCCATGTCAGAACGGGGCAACATGTACAGACGGCGTTGACTCCTATACGTGCACGTGTGTCGCCGGATATACAGGAACTAATTGTGAGACAGGTAATGCAAGTTGTTAGATAAGTTTTAATTTAAAAGTTCTTACAGTCAAAACTAAAGCCTTCAGAGGGTTTGTAGAATCATCCTGTAACTTCAAACTATATAAAATAAATATTTAAGTAGAAAGCTAAATTTCTAATGTAAAATAAAAATTTAGTAAACAAGAGCTGTCACCCAAGTGGCGAATCCTCCGAAAAGGTTTCTGCAGGTATTACGAAAAGAAAAGAGAATGAAAATAACTAATTGTTGAATATTGTTCTTTGTATTATTGTACCTGTAATCTCTAATTGTGATAGCATGAACCTTCAAAATAAATATAAGTGTGACCTTGACCTTTGAAGAAGGGACGTGGTTCCTGGACGCGACAAAATGTTGTTATGAGATAGACATTTGTGCAAAATTATTTCAAAATCTCTCAATGCACGACAAAGTTACAGTCTGGACACACGGACAAACGGACATGAGCCTTAGCCGCGACACATTGTCTTGATGTGGTAGACATTTGTGCCAAGTTATTTTAAAATCCTTCCATGCATAACAAAGTTACAGTCCGGACATGAATGTGTATCTTCAAACATTTCTCGAGAGAATGAGTACCTTCAAACTATAAGTGTGACCTTGACCTTGAAGGTAGGGCCATGGGTCTCTGTCAAGACATGACGTCTTGATGTGGTTGACATTTATGCCTAGTTATTTTAAAATCCTTCGATGCATGACAAAGTTACAGCCGGGACACAAATGTGTGTACCGTATTAATTCTATTTGTGATGTGAAACTTCAAAATGTTAGTGTGACCTTGACCTTTGAGGTAGACACGTACTTCTTGGACGCGACACATTGTCTTGATGTGGTAGACATTAATGCCTAGTTATTACAAAATCATTCAATGCATGACAAAGTTATAGTCCGGACACGAATGTGTGCACCTATTTACTCTAATTGCGATAATGTGAAACTTTAAAATGAAAGTGTGACCTTGAACTCTGAGGTAGGGACGTGGTTCTTAGACGCGACACATCGCCATGATGTGGTAGACATTTGTGCTAAGTTATTTCAAAATCCCTCAATGTATGACAAAGTTAAAGTCCGGACACGAATGAAGTGGGGACGGACAGAGGGACGGTGCAATTATATTATGCATCCCTTCGGGGGCATAAAAAGCTTGGGTAAAATTGAATACTTGTATAAGATTTGTCCTTTAATTATATCTGGAACAATAGATTGGATTAACCCACACTGCGACTTTCCTTACCTAAGTACCATTTATTTAATAGTCCCTCATGAATTTGCTATACTTATATTTTGTGCATATATTTTTGCATGTTTTGCACATAATGTTTGTTCTTGCATGTTAACTGAACGTATATTTTCGCATGTTGTGCACCAAATTTTTGAATAACAGGTATTGATGACTGTATGAGCAGCCTGTGCCAAAATGGAGCAACATGCAATGACGGTGTAAATTCCTACACTTGCACGTGTAGTCCCGGATATACAGGAACTTATTGTGACACTGGTACATGTAGTTACTTAAATGTGGAACATTCACATGTCTTTTAATATTTCTTGACCTATATTAAATAAATAAATGAAAGACTTCATTTTAAATTATGATTTAAAGAAAAAGATGTTACTTATGCTGGATACTAGTAATCAATCAAAAGTCAGAAAATATAAAGAGATGTCACTTTATAAAATTACCTAATGAGAAATTTTATTAATTGATATTTTAACAAGGGTGCCATAGTCACAAAATACGCCCGTTTACGAAAGCTTTAGATGGAGATGGGGGCATTATGGATCTAAAAAATTCTGATATAAGATTTTATTCTAGGGAAATACATTTCATTACAATTCTTTATCTTTGAATGAGCTGAACTGATATTTACTTGAAAATTAAAATATAATAAAATTTCTATGAGAAAGTATTTACATTTGATAAGGTAATTACTGTATGATCTTTATGAACAAATACCAAGTCTACAGAACACCATAGTTATCACAGTTAAGATTCTTGACCAATGAATGAAACATGTGTAAATAAATGTTACATTCTTTAGACATACTCAAGCCCAAGAAAGAGGATTATTTTATGCCCTTTGATTAAATTCTATTTTTAGAATTGAAAGTGAAAGTAGATCAAGGGGAGTAATTGTGTAAGTCATTTATGAACAAAGTAATAACTTTGTTGTCTCCCTTTGATTAAATTCTATTTACAAAATCTGGATATTTCATCATCTTTAGTGACCTTGAACTTGTATATATTGACCTAAATTATATGTATCACAGCCATAGTCTTGATAATGACCATTTGTGTTACAATCCCTCAATAAATGATGACTTAATGGTCCATATACACATCTTCATATTTTTATCTGAACTTTGACCTATATGTGTGACCTTGACCTTGGCCGCAAGGACCTGAATCTTGCACGCGACACTCCGCCTTACAATGGTGAACATTTGTGCCAAGTAATATTGAAATCCCTCTATACATGTGGAAGTTTTGCTCCGGACAAGCATTTTTCAATGAGCTCTAAGTGTGACCTTGACCTTTGACCTAGAGACCTGGTTCATGTGCGCGACACTGCTCCTCATAGTGGTGAACATTTCTATGAAGTTTCATTAAAATCCCTCCATACATGTAGGAGATATGCTCCGGACAAAATTGGACGTCGCCCGCCCGCCGCCCGCCAGGGGCGTTCCCATAAAACGTCCGTTTTTCAAACGGGCGTATAAAAATGGGTCAAAGACAGAAAAGGCCGGGTTGCATTTGTACACCAAATATCATGAGGCTGTGATGTTACGAAAAAAAATTTCCATTGACCCATTAATGTCGAAAATTTAATTCAGTAGGTAAACAGGTAGTGGATTAGCTACACACCTAAAATCGAATCCCACAGTATGGGACCATGTGTCAATGCTGTATGCCAAATATCAAGAGGCTGTGATTAGTAGTTTCTGAGAAAAATGTTACGAAAATTTCCTACCATTGACCATTAATGTGAACAGGAAGTGGATGAGCTGCAGACTTGAAATTGAATCCCACAGTATGGGACCATGTTTAAATGCTGCGTGCCAAATATCAAGAGGCTGTGATAAGTAGTTGCTGAGAAAACTGTTACGAAAATTTCCTACCACTGACCATTAATGTCGAAAAATCTAACTAATTTAACTAAGTGGATAAACAGGAAGTGGATGAGCGACAGACCTGAAATCAAATCTCACAGTATGGGACCATGTGTCAATGCTGTATGCCAAATATCAAGAGGCTGTGATAAGTAGTTGCTGAGAAAACTGTTACAAAATGTCCTACCATTGATGTTGAAAAATTTAACTTATTTAACTAAGTGGATAAACAGGAAGTGGATAAGCGACAGACCTGAAATCCATTCCCACGGTATAGGACCATGTGTCAATGTTGTATGCCAAATATCAAGAGGCTGTGATAAGTAGTTGCTGAGAAAACTGTTACGAAAATTTCCTACCATTGACCATTAATGTCATAAAATCGAACTAATTTAACTAAGTGGATAAACAGGAAGTGGATGAGTGACAGACCTGAAATCGAATTCCACGGTATGGGACCATGTGTCAATGCTGTATGCCAAATATCAAGAGGCTGTGATAAGAAGTTGCTGAGAAAACTGTTACGAAAATTTCCTACCATTGACCATTAATGTCAAAAAATCTAACTAATTTAACTAAGTGGATAAACAGGAAGTGGATGAGCGACAGACCTGAAATCGAATCCCACCGTATGGGACCATGTGTTAATGCTGTATACCAAATATCAAGAGGCTGTGATACGTAGTAGTTGAGAAAACTGTTACGAAATTTTTTTCCCCGCCAGCCCGCCTCCCACCGCCCGGCGCCCGTCATTCACCATACTATAACCCGGGTTTGCACCTGTGCAACCCGGCCAAAAATTAAATAAGGCCGAGCTAGGAAACAATGTGAGCAAAATATGAATTGTAGGTTAATGTACTACTTTACTTCTCAAAATTAAAGCTAAATGTTTTACCATAGTGTCATGGTACCTGAGGATTATAAACATCACTGAAATAATTTTACATCAGTGTGCAACACCAAGGCTTGATGGTCAAAGGTCAGGGTCATAATTAGATTATGAATTTTTTCTTCAGAACAATGCATATTGCTGCTCATGTCCGGCCAACAATTAGACATCCTTGTATGGATTTTAAAAATACATTCTTGGGTGTTTCTTTTTAAATATATGGGCATAGTGAAAATATTAGACTGAAGTGTTTGTAACATTCTTATTGTAGTGTCATGCCTTCATTGCAATGTTTACAGTGACAAAATTCTTTCCATAGAAAGTTGTTGATGTATGTCTTTTTGCTATAAAAAGTGTATCTGAATTTTGTATGTTTAGTATTACATGTGAGTTAAGAATGGTCTAAGTGTTATCTTCAGAGATATGAGGGGGAGTCATATTAACCCCTTGGTGATTCAATGACAATTTTAGAAGTGTAAACATAAGATGGTCAGTAAAAAGTAAACAATGTTTACCCCACTTTTTATGTTTGTTTGAAAACCGTTTTAGTGTATGCAAATACGCGTGACTTGTATTATCCAAAAATATCGATAAAACCATGCAGCTCTTCGCCCCTACTCAGATGGTGTATACGCTTAGCTGTTACTATTTAGACTGCATTGAATTGACCTTTAACTTGATCAGCAATTAAATTAATCATTACAATCAGATGTAGTTTATTTCAAATGAAAACTGCACAACAGTAAAAACCTTCACTCAGGTTTTTCGTGTTTGAGACAAGGAAATACAACAAGTTTAAAAATTCTGAAAAATGTCAAACATGTACGTAACAGATCAAAACTGATTTGTCAATAAATATCTGAAAGTTTTTTTTTCACATTAGCATCCATAAGTTTTTAATATCTAGTTCTTATAGTAAAAACTATAGCCTTCAGTGGGTTTTGAGAATCATGCTGTTACTTCAATCTATATAAAATAAATATTGAAGTAGAAAGCTAAAATGCTAATGTAAAATAAAAATTTAGTAAAAAACAAGTTACATGTTTTAACACTTATAAACAAAGTCAAATTGGTATGAACAGAATCAACACACCCCTCCAAATGGGCCTCCATGTCACAAGACTTAGTGATATATCTGGAAAATCATGGAATAGGGTTATAATACATGTAAATAAATATTTGTTAAATTATCTGAATTTCTCGTCTAACTGCATTTACAATAAATTTGGGGACTCAGTTCTAGGTTTGTTGTAAACAATAAATGTTGTTTTTTTTCTCATATACCTTTTTCAAACATCAAATCATAACATTGAAATTATGCTAGCCATTTGTTTACCTATTTTTAATCAACATTCATTACTAAAATGCCTTAATTAATGTTCACATTTTTATATAATGCAAAGCCAGAAAGTTCCAACATTTGGGCGTCTTATTAGATTGATATTTTTTCTTAATTAAGATAAGATGTTCTGTTTCATCATATTTAAACATAAACCTTTTTGTTCAAACTAGTCATTAAAAAACAAGAGCTGTCACAGGAGACAGCAAAGCTCGACTAATTAAATACTGGACGCAGTAAGGAGGACAAAACTATGAAAGAAAAATCAATTATGTATAATTATGTATTAAGTTATAGTAAAAAAATAATATTTGTTAACATAAATTCCAAGATCAAGGGGAATAATTCTAGAAATAGTCATGCTAGAGTTATAGACCTTGTCACACAACATTTGTGTAATGATAAGAAATATATATTTGAAGTTTGAAGTAGATACCTTAAAAAGTAAGAAGTTATTATATTTCTTAAAGAAAATCCTAAGTTCAAAGAGAGATAAATGTGTAAATATTGCTTCAAGAGTTATGAACATTGTCACATAAAATGTAATTGATGATAAGGAATAAGTATTTGAAGTTTGAGGTAGAAACCTGTAAAAATAAAAAGTTATAATAAAAAATAACATTTTTCTAGTTAAAAAATCTAAGTTTATGGGGAGATAATTCTTGCAATATTGGTGCTAGAGCTATGACTCTTGTCACATAAGATGTGGATGATGACAACGTAAATATATTTGAAGTATGAAGTTGATCCATTTAGAAATAAATAAGTAACAGTAAAAAATAATATTTTTTATGGAAAATTCTAAGTTCAAAGGGAGATAAATCTGAAAATATTGGTGCTAGAGTTATGAACCTTGTCACATAAGATGGGGATGATGATAACGTAAATATATTTGAAGTATGAGGTTGATCCCTTAAGAAATAAAGAAGAAACAGTAAGAAATGGTACTTTTTGAGGAAAATTCTAAGTTCAATGGGAGATAAATCTGAAAATATTGGTGCTAGAGATATGAACCTTGTCACATAAGATGGGGATGATGATAAGGTACATATATTTGAAGTATGAGGTTGATCCCTTAAGAAATAAAGAAGTAATAGTAAAAATTGTATTTTTTAAGGAAAATTCTAAGTTCAAGGGGAGATAAATCTGAAAATATTGGTGCTAGAGTTATGAACCTTGTCGCATAAGATGTGGTTGATGATAAGGAACATATATTTGAAGTTTGAAGTTGATACCTTAAGAAATGACAAAGTTATAGTGAAAAATATTTTACTGCACCAAAACTTTAATCTAAAATCTGGACGCGGACGCCGACGCCGGGGCGAGTAGGACAGCTCCCCATATACTTCGTATAGTCGAGCTAAAAAGCAACACATATTGTTGGCCTGGTGTATGTTAAATGTTTGGGTTCTTATATTTGCATTGTTTTTGTTTAAATGATACCTTAAATGTTGAAAAATGAATGCCTGCTATAGGCTAGCAAAAAGAAAAGCGAGATATAAACTCCTGTAAAAGGTATGCTTTGTTGATTTCTACCTAGACTATCTTTATAAAAAGTCACTTTTCATATAAAACAAATATTGAAAACTTTCGAAAGTAGACTAGTATACTAAATGTCCAGTATTGCACTGTCATACAAATAGTTACATTTTTAATATAAATTTAACACAATATGCAAAAGAATACTATAATACATGCATCCTGTTATACATGTTCTAATACTATCAGCAAAAAATGTCATTACAAATTGAAAATATAGAAAAATGTGCAAAAAATGGCACTTTTCATTGATATTTTGAAAATTTTAGGACAGAAACCTGAAAAGCTATATATTTCATTGTTATCTCATTGTAACTTTATTTTTTCTGAAATGTTTGTACATCTTTTTATCGAAAACAGCATAATCTTTGCTGTAAAATTTCCCATAATCAGATCTATATCCGTTTTGCATAAAATCGGCCGCCATATTGGGTGCCATCTTGAATTCTGAAACGTTGTGAAAGCAAAAATTTGTATGATTTGCATTTTTGTAAAGGAGAAACTATATGCATGCTCTGGTGTAAGTTTCAGATTTTGACAAAAATTTGAATAAATGGCCCTTTGCTCTTAGGCTAATTATTATGTGTTTCTTTTTCTGCTAGCAAAATGCCCAGCCGATTGGTACTTTTTCCGAGAAAGCTGCTATTTCCGAAGCACAAAAGATCTTGCATGGCTTGAAGCTGAGGTAAGTATTACATCACATAATAGAGTTTTCTATTTCCCAGCAGGTACTTGAATATAGCCATCTGAATGCAGTTGAACAATAAAACATCTACGTTATTATTTCTTTTAGCTTCGATTGCAATTTCTTCAAGACTTGGTTTCAAAATATATCTTCCTGAAAGATATTCTCATTAAACTCTCAACTGTCTTTATCTCCAAGCCTAATAGTTTCATAGCATGCATGTATTGGACAAATAACTTTTTTATAAATCACCGATCCAGCAGTAAGTTTTATTTGTCGTTAGCTTTGTGAGCAATAAGCAACGTTTAATTGAACTAGTGTTAATAAAGGGGGTCTCCACTGGCATTGGCTATTACTTAGAATATACATAAAATATAATATTGCATCAAAGTCTTCATTCAACTTATGACACTAGTGAAACATGCCAGTAAATAATGTTAACTCATTTTATAATACGCATTAACCCTTAGAAAATCCTAAATACGCGTCTGAAATGTTATAAACTACTATTATAATGCATGCATGGTAGTATTTTGCATGATTATCACGTAAACAATTGAATTATATTACTGTGTTATTGATAGTCAATAGCTTCACATATGTTTATTGATATATTTTACAGGAAGACTGTATCGCTTTGGGAGGACACCTTGTAGAGATCACAAGTGAGCAAGAGAACAACTTCATAAAGTCAAATATGCTTATAGGAAACTCTGGTAATTTAATAATGTGTCGTGTTAATAAGAGGTTAATACACGGCAGGAGAGGGCCGGAAGGTGATAATCGGCCCGCAAAATGAATAATGGACCCGAGGGCTTTAGCCCGAGGGCCATTATTCATTCAGGGCCGATTATCACCTTCCGGCCCTAATCTGACGTGTATTAATGTCTTTAATACACTTGGTAGATCTAATAGTAGCATTTTTTTTAAAACAAGCAAACAAAAAACACCAACAAATACTTTGAAGTTCTTTCGTTGAAATTCTTGTCTACCCTTCTACTGTTCTGTACAGAGACGTTTACTGTTTGTGTGTTCAAAGCAGTAGAATCTAGAAGCAAGTTTTATTTTCTTTTTTTTCGGAATGAATTTGTCGTATTATTTCTTCAAATTTCAATAGTAACAAAAATGTGTTTGTACTAAATACGCTTAAGCTCTCATAATAGAAATAAAGCGATGACGTAAAATATGACGTCATTGTTTCAGTTTGTGCACGTGCACATGTTCTGCGGGCTGATAACTAGTTCTCGGTCCCGGGCCGCAAACTCATAATAGGTCACGTGACACTCATAATCAGTTGAAATCATAGGCAATTTTGTTACTATATATAGTAACAAGTGTAATAATAAACATGATAATTGCTTGAGCCATACAAACAAGAGCGATCACTGATCACATGTTGCCTGATGATAGCCAATTAAGCATTAAGCAGTTAGTTGTATTGATGGGTGATTAAAAACCAGTTTGTTTCCAATATATCGCAACTGTTGTGTAACATGTTGTAGCTACTGCTCAGTAGGAGACACAACAGATCATTAACAGGCAAAAAAGCTTTTTTTATTCAAGGGCCATAACTCAGCCAAAAATCAGTCAATGTACAAAACAATTTATAAAATACAATACATCATTAAGAGATAAAATAATTACATAAGTTGATTTCATTATTATACATTCAACATTGAAATATGTGAGATCAACCTTGAACAAACAAAAGATATGAGTTGATAATATATACATACATTCAACATTGAATTGGATGTTATCAAAAGTGAAAATTAACATATATATAAAACAAACATATTTAAACGAATATAAAAACAAATATTTACATAGCATCTAAGCAGAGGTTTCCACCAGAGAACCACCATGTTAAGTATGTTTTTTTGAATTGTGCAAGACTGTTTGATTGCCTGATATGTAATGGTAATTTGTTCTTGATTTTAGGCCCAGAGTATGCAAGAGCTTTTCTGCAAAACTCTAATCTAGGTTTGGGTATATGTAGTGTCTGTTGAGTGTGTGATCTAAGAGTTGTGCGATTTGTGTGCGAAAATAAATCAGACATATAATGTGGCGATAGATTAAGGGATTTGTAAACAAGAATTGCCTTTTTATAATGTATGCGGTCATGTATTTTTAACCAATTCAATTCATGAAACAATATATCTGAGGGTGTATCAATGTCTGCATCAAGTATAATATGGGCGGCTCTCTTCTGAAATTTGTATAAGCTGTTCAGTAATTCATCATTACAATTTCCCCAAATTTGTTTGTTTGTTTGTTTCATTTTACGCCTTTTCAACAGTATTTCAGTCATATAGGCGGGTAGTTTCCTAACCATCATTCCTGGAGAGTTACACCAGTACTAGACTACCTTCCTCCGCGCTAAACTACCAAGGCATCTCCCGGGGATCGAACCCACGCCAGAGAGGTAACTGGATTAGAAGTCATCGACTCTAACCCCTCGACCACGGAGGCGGTTATTTCCCCAAATAGTGCAGCAGTAATCTAGGTGTTGCAATATGTATGCATTATAAAAAACTATTCTCATTTGTTTGTTTTGGTATTATTTAATACGAAGTAGAAGATACAGTAATGAATTTCATTTTTTAATCAGATGTTCAATTTGACAGTTCCATGGTAATCTATGATCCACATGAATTCCTAGTAATTTTTCAGAGTTTAATTAAGTAAATTCAATGTTCTTTTCCTGCATTTTCAAAATGTAGTCATTGCTTGATTTAATTGTATTGTAAATAATATTTGATGGGGAGATTATCAGTGCTTTTGTTTTTTGAGGAATTGGTAGCATAGAGTTTCTTGCACACCAGTCGTAGATGATGTCAATGCTTTTTGTAGCGATCTGTAGACTGAGTCAATAGATGATCCAAATGAGGAGATAGTTGTATCATCTGCAAACATGTCAGTAGATGTATTTGGAAGGTTTAAATGCATATCATCTATATATAGAATGAATAGAGCGGGGCCAAGAATGGATCCCTGAGGGACTCCAGATGATATTTCTTTGGCACTTGATAATTTGCCAGAGATTGAGACCTGTTGTGTTCTGTTTGAGAGATAAGATTTAAACCAGTTAAGTTTTTCCGCTGCAAACTGATATTGTGTCATCTTTTGGATTAAGAGTAAATGATTAAGTAAATCAAATGCCTTAGAAAGATCAAGAAAAACAGTGCCTACAAGTTTGTTGTCATTGATTGCAGAAATCCAAGTGTCAATGATAGATGTTAATGCTGTTTCACATGAATGATTTGAATGGAAAACTGACCGAGTCTTATGCAATAACGAATGTGTTTCAAGAAAATTTGAAGGTGGTTACTGACATGTTTTTCTAGTACTTTGGAAAGAACAGAGAGAATGGAAATACGATGATAGTTATTTGCATCAGATTTGTTCCCTTTTTTGAAATTGGTATTATCTTTGCTTTTTTGAAAAGTGTAGGGAAAGAAGATGTTGAAAGGCTTTGGTTAAATATTTGTGTGAGTGGTTTTGCTATTACTTCAGCCGAGAGTTTTAAAAAATTTGCTCCTATGTCATCTAAACCTGTTGCATTATTTGAGTCTTGAGGGATATGAGTTGCTTGATGAGAAATTCTTCTTGTATTTGTGGAATCTGAAAGGAAGAAGTTGCACTTACGTGTTTAGTGGTGAACTCGTGAATTGCTGTTTTGTCTTCATTTGAAAGTATAGAACAATTGTCTGGAGCTTTTTTAAATACATTATCAAAAAAATCATTGAAATAATCAGCAGTGGTGTGTGCGTCCTGTATAGGATTACCTGATATATCAACAATAAAGTTAGTTTGAGATTTGGATGATTTACCTGAAATGTCTTTTAGATTTTTCCATAGCTGTTTAAAGGTTGTTAGAATAATTATTTATTGAATTTGTATAAAATGACTTTTTTGCATCTGTTATAAGTGATTTTGTTTTATTTCTCCATAATATTTGAAGGTATCTTCATCATTAGAACTTTTGGTTAGTCTCTTTTCATCATAGCATTGGATATTTCAGTATTAAACCAGTCTGGTAGATTTTTATGTTTTACCTTTTTTTGTTTTAAAGGAGCATTTGAGTTTAGTGAATCATTATATAGGTTGAGAAAATATTCAAGTGAATCATCTATGTCATCAAAAATATCAATTACAGACCATGGCTGTGCTTTTAGAGAATTGATGAAATTTTGTTTATCAAAATTTTTAACATTTTTGTATCTAATCATATTATGTGTGGGTCCTGAGTCCTTTTGTGATGACAGTTTTCGTGTGAAGCAGACTGGATAATGGTCACTAAGGTTAATGTGGGGTACACATATTTCAACAATGTTACATGGCATATTTGTATAGACATGGTCAATGATGGAAAAAGTTTGATGGGTGACTCAAATTAAATGCATTTATAGTGTTCCTCCATGTAGAATTTGAATCTAAATTACTCATGTTATAATTTAAGTCACCAGTTATGATAATATCTTTGTTTTCTGAATATAGCCGCTCTAAATTTTGTTCAAATTCCTGATTCCAGGCACAATTTGAAGATGGAGGTCTGTAGATATATCCAAATATGAATGGCTTTTGCTTAGAACACTTTATTTCAAGCCAGATGGCTTCAAGCATGTCACTATCAAGGTTATGTCTTTGAACACTATGATATTTACAATTTACATACTGTATTCCTAGAAATGTTCGCGCATACATGATCTTGCACGTTTTTCACAAAGTCGGCATTTTCGCTGAGACAAACTTTCGTGGATTTGTAGTAACCACACTTTCCGCGAATATTAAGTCGCTACGGCCTAAATAACAGTTTATGGAGGCTACATTTTTTATGCATGACCTTGCCTGTTGGATACTTTTAATTCTTTTATTTTATTGACAAGTCAGGCCTAAAGCCCTGAACACTTTTTACTTATTTTCTTATCTCTTCACTATGTGATTAAGTAAGTTTTAGTCAGACCCGTTAGTTTTCTCATTTGAATCAAAACTGACTTTATCTTCAAAATGACGATACGTAATTTTTTTACAGAGTATCAGACTGTTCGTCATTTTTGTGTCGCCTCTACGGAGTAGTGGCGACATATAGGGATCACTTCTCCGTCGTCTGTCTGTCCGTCTGTCCGTCTGTCTGTCTGTCTGTCTGTCTGTCTGTCTGTCCGTCTGTCCGTCCGTCCGTCACAAAACTTGTCCGGACTACTCCTCATAAACTACTGGTGCAATTTCATCCAAACTTTACAGGAATGATCAGTACCAAGTCTAGTTGTGCATATTGTCAGGATTTTCCGGTTCAATGATTTTTGTCAGAGTTATGTCCCTTTAATAATTTTTAATTTTAAAGTTTGTCCGGACTACTTCTCTTATACCACTAATGCAATTTCAATGAAACTTTACAGGATTGATCTGTAGCTCAAGTCCTTGCGCATATTGCAGGGGTTTTTTGGTTGAATGATTTTTGGCCGAGTTATGGCCCTTTGATAAAAAGGTTTCTTTTTCTGTGTGTTGCCAGATACACAAAAGCTTGTCCGGACTACTCCTCATAAACTACTGGTGCAATTTCATCCAAACTTTACACGAATGATCAGTACCAAGTCTAGTTGTGCATATTGTCAGCATTTTCCGGTTCAATGATTTTTGTTTGAGTTATGGCCCTTTAAAAATTTTTATTTTTAAAGTTTGTCCAGACTACTTCTCTTATACCACTTATGCAATT